AATTTAAAAAAAAAAAATTAAGTTTTGTCCCAATTCATTGTTCACAAATTTGGGAATAGGTTAGGCTTGACTCAAATACACTGTCATCCCGTTCTTATTTCAATCTTCCAGTTTCATTCATTTGTTTACCCTGCAAGGCACGAAAAAAAAATTAAAAATTAAGCTTTGCTCCCAAGTGTTTGTAATGTACATGATGAATTCTCAAGAAAATTATGAGTTACCCTGTAAGGCATGCAAGAAAATTTCATAAACACAAAATAAATAAATAAAAGCTATTTACAATCTAATCTAATCGAAAACTTTATTGCAAGCAAGCAACATTTTATGTGCCTAAGCAAAACACTGCTATTTTAATCTCTTCTCTCATTTCTCTAATCTCGTGCATACTATGGCGGCTAAACGAGCTTACCAAATTGTTGATGCTGTGAATATTCTTTGGGAAAAGTTTAGCTTCAAGGATGGAGAAACTTCTCCAATGGGTGAGTTTATTGAACTTATTGATAGCTGTTCTTTTACATATGATACAGTATGTTTGATTAATCGTGTTTGTTGTTCATGTGACCTGATGCAGCTTTCATGGTGAACGACAAGCTGATGAAAGTGTTCTATGGTGAGCGCGGTGTCACGACCTTGGTAATTTTCAAGCACTTCGTGTGGCACTTAGACAATCTCAAACCTTACTTGATTATGCTAAGTCAGCCTAACTCACAAACTTGTAAGAAAAACAAGTAAAAAGACAAGGAGAGTTTGAGAGAATGCTTTTTGTATTGACTTTGAGAAAGCTTTACAACTCTTGGATTATTGATGGAGCAAATGAGCCCCTCTCCTATTTATAGGCATCTTGGGCCTTTTCTAAAATATTCCAAAGCATAAAAGAAAAAGACTATGAAGAAGCATCTCAAGGAAGCTTTTCTTATCCTACAAGAGGCTTCTAGAATTCTCCCTAAAAATATCTATACAAACATCTACCTTATTTTAGAAGTAGGTACAAGAATCTTTTACAGTCTCCATTTCTCTAGGAGGTTCTAGAAGCTACTATTGCTTCCATCCCTCTAATATTCACTCAAATGCTATAAAACCTATACTAGATTCTTCCAGGCACATTATAGAATTATGTACCATATTCTCTCATTTTCTCAAGTTTTCTAGGAGCTTCTAGAATATTCCATTAGCCTCTCTTCCTTGAGACTTCAACTTGGTAGGCAATTTTGTCTAGGTAATCTGGTTGGACGTGACACTATGCAGGCTAAGGTTTCAGGGAGCATTCACCTTTTGTGCTCATGCAAAGAGTATTGGTCTGTTGTTATTCCACCCACCCAACATCTAGCATTGGTAGTATCGTTACTAAGTAGTGGGCTTTATGATAGTAAACCGGACATGATTTTGCACATTCCTAGTTGATGGAAATTTTTGTTTTTCAAATGTTGGTGTATGGTTGCATAACAAACAGTTACTTCATTTCACTATTAATCCAATTCTGTGTCAACTAAGGTCCAAAGTTTCTGTGTCACCTAAGGTCCAAAGTTTTACTTGAATTTGTATCTGGAATGCCATTCTATTTAAAATTTTATCTTAAATGTTCTTTTATAGCATTATACTATTGAGTTCTACAGACCCTAATTATTTTATTCTTCTGTGTATATAGGTGAAGAATATCGGATTCACTGGGGTTTTTAGATTGATCTTTAAGCCGCTAGTCGATGAGTTCCCTTGCTTTGGAGCTATATGTTATTCATTAAGAGAAAAGGTGCCTTCTTTTTTCTTTGTTTTTATTTTCAAAAAAGAAAAAAAGAAAAAAAAAAAGAAAGAGCTTTTGAAACATTCCTCTTAAAATTTGAAATGCATATGTACATGAGTACATATGCACTTGGATGCATACTAATTTTTTGTACAACATGTATATGGATTAGTACAAATTAAAGCATAAAGTTTACAGAAGTACTTCATAATCCGAAAATTACGTAGAATTTAAATTGTGCTAACACACCAAGATTGCATTTACATTGATGAGTTGCTTGGGAGATTTCGTTTGTCAATTATACATTTTAATCAAAAAATTTTAAATAAATATCATATTTTTTTTTATTTTTTTTATAAAAAAATATAAAAAAAAATAAAGAGATGATATAACTCAAAAAAGATATTAAAAAAAATTACACTTTTTTTATGCTAGCTAAACAACCCTATAATATATAAAGGTCAAAAAATAATAATAATAAATAAATAAATAAACTACTTTACCGAAGGGCAATTTTCCTGTATCAAATTTTTTTTATGAAAATGTTGAGAGATCTCAACTACTATAAAAATATTATATGTCTTTTATCTTATAAAAAAGGCGTAAGATAAAATATTAATAAAATATTCACTATTTTTTTTTTAAGTAATTCCCAAAGAAAATACTATATTTTTCTAAAATTTTATACAAGATGACATGATAGTGGTTTTTTATAAATAAATATGAATTAAATTATTAACCACTCATTCATCTATAAACTTAAATTGTTATTGCCTAATATTATATTAAGCTATTAACCACTAATTCACCTAAAATTTTAAACTGTTAGAAACATAAGTAACCTTATTATTTATATTATAATATTAATTGATGGGTTTTTTTAAAAAAATAAAAAATAAAAAATTGATAGATCCATGACTCAACATATCATACTATATATATACAACAAACAAAAACAACGACAACAACAACGCCTAATTAATACACATTAATATATATTTGTGATGGGAAACATTGAGAACACACTTAACATTTGGAATAAATATATCATACTATATATATCATACTACATATATATATATATATATTATTTATTTTTGTTTGTAACTCATTACTTAATTTAAAAATTATGCAGAAACCAAATCAGAAGGAAGAAGGGAGAGTGAAGGAACTTAAAGATGAGGTGAGAGGGATGCTACGTGATGCAAGAACTGAACCTTTGAAAGAAACATTGATCCTTATCGATTCACTCCAACGCCTTGGCTTGTCATATGATTTTGAGTATGAGATTGAGCAGGCACTCCAATCAATTTACAGCACTCAAATCAACTATGGTGGTGGTGGTGGTGGTGGTGGTGGTGGTGGTGGTGGTGGTGGTGGTGGTGGTGGTGGTGGTGGTGGTGGTGGTGGTGGTGGTGGTGGTGGTGGTGGTGGTGGTGGTGGTGGTGGTGGTGGTGGTGGTGGTGGTGGTGGTGGTGGTGGTGGTGGTGGTGGTGGTGGTGGTGGTGGTGGTGGTGGTGGTGGTGGTGGTGGTGGTGGTGGTGGTGGTGGTGGTGGTGGTGGTGGTGGTGGTGGTGGTGGTGGTGGTGGTGGTGGTGGTGGTGGTGGTGGTGGTGGTGGTGGTGGTGGTGGTGGTGGTGGTGGTGGTGGTGGTGGTGGTGGTGGTGGTGGTGGTGGTGGTGGTGGTGGTGGTGGTGGTGGTGGTGGTGGTGGTGGTGGTGGTGGTGGTGGTGGTGGTGGTGGTGGTGGTGGTGGTGGTGGTGGTGGTGGTGGTGGTGGTGGTGGTGGTGGTGGTGGTGGTGGTGGTGGTGGTGGTGGTGGTGGTGGTGGTGGTGGTGGTGGTGGTGGTGGTGGTGGTGGTGGTGGTGGTGGTGGTGGTGGTGGTGGTGGTGGTGGTGGTGGTGGTGGTGGTGGTGGTGGTGGTGGTGGTGGTGGTGGTGGTGGTGGTGGTGGTGGTGGTGGTGGTGGTGGTGGTGGTGGTGGTGGTGGTGGTGGTGGTGGTGGTGGTGGTGGTGGTGGTGGTGGTGGTGGTGGTGGTGGTGGTGGTGGTGGTGGTGGTGGTGGTGGTGGTGGTGGTGGTGGTGGTGGTGGTGGTGGTGGTGGTGGTGGTGGTGGTGGTGGTGGTGGTGGTGGTGGTGGTGTTTACAGCACTCAAATCAACTATGGTGGTGGTGGTGGTGGTGGTGGTGGTGATGATCTCTATATGTGTGCTCTCTGTTTCAGACTTTTTAGGCAACAAGGCTATCATGTTTCTTCTGGTAAGTTTCCAAACACCACAAACTCTTGTATCTCACTAGGCTATCATGCTTCTTATGTTTTTTTTTTTCAACTAGATTCATTTAAAAAGTTCACAGATGAGAAAGGTGAGTTCAAGTCAGTGCTGAAAGAAAATGCAAGAGCTTTGCTATGCTTATATGAGGCATCACATTTAAGGGTTCAAGGGGAAGATATATTGGAAGAAGCGTTGAAATTTACAAGCAAGAACTTGAGGTCTATGTTAGCCCATCTAAACTCTCCTCTCTCTGAGCAAGTTAAGCACTCTCTAGAAGTACCTCTACGCAAAGGAATGCCCAGATTAGAGGCCAGGCACTACATCAATGTCTACCAAGCTGATTTAGCAAGAAATTCTGCTTTGTTGGAGCTAGCAAAGCTGGATTTCAATCTTTTACAAAGGTTGCACCAGAGAGAAATAAGTGACATCACAAGGTGACTTTATTTATTAATTAGCTATGGTTATCTTATACGGCTTGGTTTGTCTACAATCTATTATTTAGATTAGATCAGTGCCTGTGGCCATCACAAATCTTGTTCTAATGATTTGGTCTTTGTATATAGATTATTTATGAAACAAATCAAATTGATATGACAATTATAGTCATATAATTTAATTATATTTATCTTTAAAAAATAAACATAATGTATAATTTTAAAATTAGATTGTTGACTACTTTAAAGACACGTCATTAAATCTTCACATCTTCTTTATGGAAATTTCAATGTATTTTTTTTTTAATCTAATTTTTTAGGTGGTGGAAAGAGAGAGAGATTGCAGCAAAGCTACCTTTCGCGAGGGATAGATTGGTGGAGTGCTACTTCTGGATATTAGGGGTTTATTTCGAGCCCAAGTACTCTGTTGTTAGAAGCTTTATGACTAAAATAATAGCATTAGCTTCTGTCATAGATGACATTTATGATGTGTATGGTACCCTTGAAGAACTTCAGTTATTTACTGATGCAATAGAAAGGTATGTGTGCAATTTTTATCCATCTGATACTTGTACACTTGTATACTAGTTCCAATAAAAATTACAATTGTGCTGGCCATTTCTTCATAAGTATCAGTTCATAGCAGCTTAATCACGAGCTAATTTACAACCAATATGGCTAGTTCATAGTCGATCATTACAACTGGTTCAACTGCTTGCAACTGGTGGCCTTAAATTTCACACCCATGACACTAGATTTTTATATATCTCACTGGATATTTCTGATACCGTTACACTGCGATTGACATTGATACGTCGTCTTCTGATTAAAAACATGACATCACTAATTTCATAGGTGGGAAGAAGCAACTATCAGTGATTTACCTGAATACATGCAAGTTTGCTTCGAGGCACTCTCAGAGGTCATGAAGGAAATGGAGGACAAGATAACGACCCATGAGGGGAGATCCTACCACATATACTATGCAAAAGAAGGAGTAAGTAATTAAAATTTTCTCTCATCCAAACTAGACAACGTTAACTTAGTTTTACAGCATAATAGCTGTCTAACACTTAAATTTGTGTGGTTTTCTTCAGATGAAAGGCCTAGTTAGAGCCTACTTTGTGGAAGCAAACTGGTTTAACACCAAGTATGTGCCTACATTTGAGGAGTACTTGAGCATTTCTGTGATGAGCAGTGGTTATCCTATGCTGGCTGTTCAATCCCTTGTTGGCATTGGAAAGATTGCAACTAAGGAAGCCCTTGATTGGGTGCTTAATGTTCCCAAAATTGTGGAGTCTTGCGCACTAATTGCTAGGCTTGTTGATGACATCCAAACTCACAAGGTACCCCACAATATATTGAGGTCAAATAATGATTCTTAAATATCAGCCTATATTCATAACTTATATAACTAGTTCGGCAGTTATAAAACTATTTTATGCAAATGATTTTAAAAATTTTACTACCATGTTACCCAATTTTCAATATGTGTCGGTTTATATTCTCGATACTATTATGCTACAAGTGATACAGTTACGTTTCTTAATGTCTAACTCAAATATGAACCGAAATCTTCTGTCAACGTCTTTTTATACCATTCATCTCAAGTCATCTTTGTATCACACAATTGATCTCTCTAACATTGTCATGTGATAGAGAGAAAACAAGAGGGCATAAGAGATTTGAACAAAAGATCCCTAGCAAAATACAGTAGGACAATATTTCTTTTGACCTAAGTATTGTTAACACTAAAAGTGTGTTTGGATCGTGGAAATCTAACGATTTTTTCTCTAAATTTTGAAGGTTGAGCAAGAGAGAGGGGATGCACCTTCGGGTGTGCAATGCTACATGAGGGAACACGGTGTGTCCGAGGAAGAAGCATGTGGGAAAATAAGAGAAATTGTGGACATTGCTTGGAAAGACATCAACGAAGAACTCCAAAGCCCTAATAGGCTCCTCCCTCTGCCTCTACTATTACCAGCTCTTAATCTGTCACGTATGATGGAAGTCATTTATGGACATGGTGATGGTTACACTAATTCGAAAGGTCGAACCAAAGATATCATCATCTCAGTGCTTGTTAATCCTATCTCCGTGTAATAATTTTTTTTATGTATTGAAATAAGACTAAAAATAAGTAAGGCATAATCTAATAATAGTCAAATTTTGCTTTCAAATGTGAGTCTAATCATCAATTGTTGAATGCTGACAACACTTTTCATAGAACAGGAATATGTAATTTAATCTATGTAGTGTGTTTGGATCACGATTACATTATAGTTCATGTTAACATGGAGGAGAATCTAACTTACAGGCTAGAAAAAAAATTATTAAAAATAAAAATAAGCAAATTATACTTGTTATTTATTTTTATTTTTTTTTAATATGATGAAATCAAGAATAAATAAGGGGAAATAGAGAATATTGTTTTATAATTAATCATAATATAAAATATTTTAGTCAATTATGATCCGATATAGTGAAATTTTTCCAAGCCGAAACAAACATTATATTATAAAAAAACCAAGTGAAGCTATTTTTTATAAATAGTTATCTTCTTTCTATCTTCAATGGAGTCCTATCATTTTGGCAATCTTTATATATAGATGTAGAAAACTTATCTGATGGAAATTCAAAAGTGAGCCTATTTTTTTTTTCTAGTTAAATATTATTAAAAAACTATACTAACTTCATGATAAATACGGAAAAGCATAAATCATATGGTAATGGAGTGTGAGAATCAAACACAACCATGTATGAAATTTTGTCAAAACTACAATGTATCATGTGTCTGTTGGGATGGGTTAAGTAGATGTGTTGAACAAATTCAAGGATGACAATGGCAAAATTCATGAATCCTTAATTGGTGATATGCAGGGAATGTTAAGCTTATACGAGACTACTGTGAGAATATATTGTATATATGGCATGATTGTATATATATGGCATAATTGTGTATATTAGGCATTAGGCATTAGGAAAGATTGTGGTGGTGTAAATAAGAATCTTTGTATTTCATTTTTCAGTCATAGATTTAGGGCTATATAAATTGTTGAACTCTTTGTAAACATATACAATTGAATACACAATATTCTTCATAAACTTACATGGTATCAGAGCCATGTTCATAACCCTATCGCCGTCATCTTCCTCAGTCGTCTCTGATTTTTTGTATCGCGATTGAATTCGTGATCAGTCTCTTTGCTGGCAAACCCTAGCGCCGTCATCTTCCTCAGCCGTCTCTGGTTTTCGGATTACGATTGAAACGTCGCGATCAGTCTGTGTGCTCGCGAGCCCTAGCATTATCATCTCCCTCAGCCATCTATGCTTCGCCTTGTCTCGCGTCATCGTTTCTCTCGTTCGCGATCAATGTATCTCTCTCTCTTTCTCTTTCTGCTCGTGGTAGTCTAGTTTGGGGTTAGTAAACTTAAAACTTATTTTAGGTTTATTATTGTTTGACCCCAGCACCTTCTGAATATTACAATTTTAACCCTTAAATTTTATAACCCTTGTTTCATTATAATATCGAACACTAAAACCCAAGCTATCAAGTGCAAACTCACTGGTAACAATTATGCCTATTGGGCCAATGTTATGAAGAACTTTCTTCTTGGTCAGAAAAAATGGGGTTATGTTTCTGATTCTGTTCCTCGGCCATTGGACTCAAAGGTAGAAGGATATCTGACTTCGTGTGATACTTGAGATTGTTATAATGCCCAAGTTCTGAACTGGTTTTATAATTCTATGGATGATCGTATTGGAATGATATTTTCTAAATACAGTACTGCCAAGGAGGTGTGAGATTATTTACTAGGTGTATATCAACAGTCTAACTTTGTCAAGCGGTATGAGTTGGAAACAGCTATTCAGAGTGCTCGTCAACGGGATCAGACTATTCGGGATTTCTATATTGAGATGACAGGACTTTGGGATCAATTGGCTCACATGGAACCACCTAGCCTCAAAGTACTAGACACTTATGTTGAGTTTCGGGAGTAGGATCTTTTAGTACAGTTCTTAACGGCTCTTTCTCCCCAGTATGAGGCTATCCATAGTGGCATCCTTCATCGGTCTCCTCTCCCCTCTCTAGATGCTATTGTTCATGAGCTCCTCTCCAAGGAAACCCATCTTAAGACGGCCAGTCAGACTCTATCTCCATTTATCAATTGTCAATTGTCAATTGAAGGATCAAAACTTCAATTGAAATGAAAAATTACAAAACGTGTATACTTTGAATTCAAACTTCAAAATCATTGAAGTTTTCTCTCCAAATTCGTGAAGCATGCAGGGACTCTAATGTATGAAGGAAATTTCCATGAAATATGCCATGCATGTTATGTTCTTGAACTAATTCTTACACTTTCTTCCTTATCTTGTTTATAGATATATTCTCCTTCAAATTACTCCATAAAACCACCAATTAAGCTTGAATTCTTCTTAATTAAACTTAAATTCCATGGGTTCATAAGTATAACAAGTCAAATTCTTGACATTAGAAGAGAATTCCAACCTTGAGTTGATTTAGCTTTTCTTCTTCTTGCTCTTCTTTTCTCTCTTTCTCTCTCTCCCTCGCTCTTTCTCTCTCTCTCCCTCTCTCTCTCTAGAACTCTCTTTGATGTTATATAACTCCCCAACAAAACCCACTCGACTATTCACTTTCCCTCAAGACTCATCTTTTATTGAATTGAGCTAATGGGTTCAATAGTCACTAATAATTTCTATAGGTCTTAATTAATCTCAAGGTTAGATTAATAAGTCAAATCTACTAAATTAACTCAATTCTCATCATATACATCATAATCTAATTTAAATTGAACTAAATTTAATCACACTAATATGAATTAGGCTCTAATTGCCTCTCCCCACTATGTAATTTAATCTTATATAAATTACTGATTCACTCATGCTTCATTTAATTGAATTTAATCTAATTAATTTGATCTGAATCAATTTTTAATTAAATTTCACAATAGACTCTAAAAATTATACTGATCACAATAAAGTGATCAATTTCAGTTTCTGATGTCATTTAGGCCATCAATTTTAAATTCTAGACAAGAATCTCAACAGATATCTTGAATCAAACAGATACGTACAAATTAATCGCATGGCTCATTTCTCAATTAAAATTTAACACAAAATTAATTAATTGAAATCACGATTTACATTTTGGGGGCCATCACACCTATGACTTGTTGGGGATTCATACAAGGACTTCACATTGAATTACTCAGAGGAAGATCTCGACTATCAGAACGAATCACCATCACCAATAAGAGTTGAACAAAGACGTTCAAGGAGATTCAACAATTTCTTCATCTCTGAATGACTCAACCCTCTCCAAATAACAATGTTTCAAAAAACTCAACCATCCTCCTTCAAATAATCACACACTGAAACAATAATAGGAAAAGCCTCCTCCAAGTTGCCACCCCCACATCTATGGCTCCAAAAGTTAACATGATCCCCATTCCTCACCAAGATCATTCCTCACCAAAAGCCAAATGTCGCTAGAGAAGGCATCCCATTCATTTCCACAAATTAGAATCATAGGGCAAAGTAACCTCTTCTGACACCCAAGCACACCCATTTTTGCATGCCACCACCTATGAAGCACCGATACTTCTAAAAGGGCTATATATCCATATTGTATCTGTATCAAATACTGACATTCCTTGGATACTCGCAAATACATATCGGATACTTACTAAAAGTATCGAATACTTTTTAATTAATTTTTCATTAATTTTGAAATATGAGATACTCTAGCCTAGTTTAGCATCTTGAGAAAAAGATAAAAAGTCAAAAAATTACTAAAAAAGTAAAAAAACTAACACTATTCACAATATTTTAATGGTACAAAACAAAAATAAAAATATTATATCAGAACAGCACACATCAAGGGTCCAAAGCAAAAAAAAAAAAAATTAATAATTTTTTATATGATTGATGGAGACATGCATCACTGCCACACACGTCCAAACAAAATAAAAAATAAAAATAAAAAAACAAATTTTCAAATATTGTACCAGACCACGATGGAAAAGAACGAAAAAAAAAAATTCAACAATGATAGAGATCACTAATTTTGGAGCTCTAAAAAGACCACTAATACCATGGCACTCAATAAAAAAAGAAAAAAAATACGACACCAAGGCCAAAATATCAAATCATTCATGATGGGGCCTACTGCTACATCATTAGTGGTAGCACTAATTAGTGCTCCCACTCATTTTCCAAAAAAAATTTCAACTTTTTCCTGTACACACAGATCCGTACTGACATACACGCGGATTTATATGGGTAAAATTGTAATTTTGCTAATTTATACAATATTTTAATACAGATTTTTTCATAAAAAATAAAAAAGTTAACCCAAAGAACTATATTTTTTTTCTCAACTTTTTAGTCCAAAAAGTCAAAAAATACACTTATTTAGGACACCCCAAACAACCAGTCATGTATTACCTTTATAAAATTAAAATTGTCGCATTTCTTGCATAGCATTATAATATAATAAAATTACGTGGATAGATATAAGAATATTTTTTCAATACTTTGCTTAGTTCTTTGATAAGAAGAATATAATGAATTAAACTAATATAATTTGTCAAATTTACTTGTCATTATTGTATAACTACATAGAAAGTAAGAATTAAAAAGTAAAATCAAATTAAATATAGTTGTTCTATTATTGGAATATAAACATATTAAGCTTGATATTAAAGTAAAATATTTTTAAGACTTATTAAAAATAAAAAGAAGTAATAAACTAGCTACCAACTTAAATTAATACTTAATTCTTAAAAATTAGTATTTTGCATTATATAATTACAGTATGGTTTCTCAACATTCTTGAGCTCATGTATAATTGACTACTAATAAGTTTTTTAATTAATTATTTATTTATTTATTTTATTTTTTACAAGTGTATCTTAATTGTACCCATATATTAATTTTTTAGATTTTATCATATCGTCGTATCTGTATCTTGTATCTATATCCATGCTTCGTGGGCCACCACCCTCCTCTAATATTTCCCCTCTTTGACAAGAAAACCTCCACAACCATTTCCTCAACAAAACTTGATTAAAGATGGCTAACCGGTAGATATACCCAAAAAACCTCCCATTTTTTGGCTATGTTTGGTTTAAGGATTTGAAGAGAAATTTGGAAA